CTGGCTGTTCACACAGCGAAATAAAATTTCTCTTTCTCAATTTGACAGCGAATTGCGTGGAAAAGTTGGAAATATTGCCACGTCTGACACGCTCTTAACAATAAATAGTAGCAAAGTGCAAGCAACCAATTCAATGCGCATTTATCATAGACAAAACAAACGTGAACTAATTGTATTGTTGCAACATGTTGCAGCAGAAGGCTGTCGTTGTTACCATGGTTGCTAATAGCTAGTCCCATTTGTTGCACAGCTGCATTGGCGGTGTTGCATTTACCATTTAGAGCGTTATTTTTGATTTATGTGCGATTACATTTCCCGCTTTTGTGTATTGTTTTTTTCTTTTTGCTGTGATAAATAGTTAATTTATATTATTTGGAAAATACATTATGCTGCTTCTAAGTATGTGTGTTGCTAGGCATGAACAACGCCATATTTATTTATGGAACAAATGATTATGTGCCACAATGGTTGCACTACTTAATATTTACCTACCCACTCATTTGCAACATATAATTTTTGGCAATTTGCTGGCATATAAATAAAGTTGTTGCAAGCGATTGTTTTAGGTGGCAAGAAAAACTACAACTTTCAACTTGGCATTGTATGGCATGCTGCTGCAGCTGTGAGTACGAAACCTTCAATTTGCTAAAGATAAATGCAACACAGTAAAAATTGATATATCACAGCAAACTTGAATAAATTTGCGCATCAATCGTATTTTTCAGATGCAGGCCGAAAAAAGGAAGCTCAGAGTTAGAGGGTTAGCCACTTTTCATCGTTTGATTGTCGAATATAAAGTAATGGAGTAACCGCTCGACCTTTTGATGAATATCACAGCAAATGTTTAAAATACTATGAACTGTGGGCACACGCAGTGCACGGACTTGACCACTTTATTGGTAGATCTACCCACTTTTTAGCTTTATTTTATTTTCTACCGTTTTTACCAACAAAGCCTAAAAATCTACCAATATTTTCTCGAAGGTAAGAAAAGATTTAAATGAACGCAGTGTATACATATTTTTAGGGCCACCTGCAGACTTAAAAGAATTGGTGGAAGTAGAGATTTACACACAAATTCATAAAATGAAAGAAGACATTAATTGCTTTTAGTCCAAGATCCAACAAGGACATGACCTTCGCCCATCTATTTAATGTATGAAATCTATTTTGTATGAAATCTAACGTGTTAATAAATATTTCGTGAGTGGATTGGCTGAAAACCTCCTAGAAAAATTGTTTTACCCTTCGGTCCGTTTTCACGCTAAATTCAAATAAAAAATAATAATAATTTTTCTCTTAAAACAAATTTTTTTACCTCATTTAAGTTATCGTAACTTAACTTTTATTATTTTTTTTTATTAAATTAAATTTTATTTTTTTAATTTACTTTTATTTAAATTTTTGGATTATAATATTTCAAAAATAAAAATTAATTTAATTTTGACTTAATTTTTTAAA